TCCGAAAAAAAAAATATGCATATTTTCTTGGCGGGAAACGGTTTCGCGAGCCAGAAAAGACTGAAAGCTCTCTGTGCATGTGTGAGGCAAGGAATTCAAATTCAGCTGTCGTGCACGCTTGCACCGCGCGTATGGTCACGTCAAAGTTCGCAGTTGGCACTGTGCTAGCTCGAAAACTAGCTGGAAAACAGCAGATGAAATTTTGTCAGATATTTGTCATTCATATGGAAAATCGTATATCCAAATTGAGTTGATTTGCACTTACGCCACCGCTTAAGGCACTTCAGAAATATTTGTAGCGAAGTGGCTATTTGGCTTAGCAGACAAGCTCAAAGCTGAAATATTCAGATGTGGTCTCATTTCAGTTTGGAATTGAAATTCCATGAACGCGGACACGATAAATACTCAGTTTTATCTTAAACTCAAAAGCGAGTACATTTTGCAAACTTGATAATCCGCTTCCAACTTCCTTCAAACTTACATTTTTCCAGTGAACAAGCATTCACTTGGAAAACAACCAGGCTTCATGTAAAAAACTGGTAATCATGCACATTGAAAATCCGTGCGGCTCATCATGCAACACCTTCATCCCAGCCGGCTTGCCGGAAGAAGTCAAAAGAAAGCCAGTATAAGTGTTAAAGTGCAGCGCAAAACCCGTTCCTTTTGTTACCGACCTGCAAGCTTAGAGCAAAAACGCATGATCACATCGGCAAGCCTGGTTCGTTGCAGCCTGGGTTTTTAATGTAGTTGTGAAATATTTTTGAAACAATTTTGAGCTAATCATCTACGCAAACGGGAAAGCAAGGAGATGGAAGGGGCAGGAGTGGGGAACCGCAGGGGAAGAAAAAGTAGGAAGGGGAAGGTGTTCAACGGGCCAGTTGCCTCTTTCAAGCTGATTTTCTAAAAAATGTCACACACCTCGCCTTTTCCTAATCTTTTGTTTATTGTGCTTAATAATATAGCTTGCTAATATTTCGGCAACCGCTAAAACTCGGCTTGGTTTGGCTGAGTGTGAGGGGAGGGGTAAACTGCGATGATTTGGAGTGGGGGAAGGGGTGCAGGGCTGGAGGCTAGGGGAGGAAGTAAGGGCGGGGAGTGTGGTTTAGGTTTCGAAAATCGTAAAGGAGGGGGCAAAGTTTCGGACCAGAAATGAGCTGAGACCTTGGTATGAAGTAGAAATTGGAAGCAAGGACGGGATTTGTGAAAAGCAAGCTCCTATAGGTTTCTATGCTTTTGCGTCTGCGTGCGTACGAATGCCTGTGAAAATTGCTAACTCAGGAACCAGGGAAACTAGCAAGCTGAAATTTTAACGACGTTTACTCTATCTACGTACCATCCAAAGATTCCAAATTCAGCTCCTAGATGTGTTGAAGTTTTCACATAAAATTTATCAACTCGGGAACTGTAAGAGCTAGAAAGCTGAAATATTGAGAAGATATTACAAGTCCACGTACAGTTCAGAGATTTCAGACTCAACTATTAGTACGCTTAGATTTCGCGTACAGACAAGTAAAAATTTTGACAGTGAAGATGCCAACTTGAGGACCAGAAAGGCTGAGAAGTTCAAATTTTAGGAGGATGTTTCCTGTCAATGTGTGGAGGGCAGCCGGGCTAGCTAGCTGCAAAAACGCACAATGGCACCAGCTCCCTTGTGCATGGCGCAGCTAGGTCTGACATGTTATAATCTGAAATTTCACGTGGCATTACCGTGCAGTACATCGGCTCAGTTATTGGTTCTCTTCTTCAAACCTTGAAAAAACCAAAAAGGACATTTTTATCATAAATGAAGTGGACGTTCTCTTGATCTTATTCTGTCCAAAATCGTGCAAAAATGCAAGCAGCTTTTTACTTTTTGATGTAGAGGCCACATTTCACCAGAGTACAGGCAAAAATTTCTTGTTCCTAGTGAAAATTTTAATTTTAGGTTGCTCCGGGAACGAAACGCTCCGGTCACACATGTTTCGAATACACTCCATTTCTCGAATGTTTATGTGCCGATGTTGCAACTGGGCTTATCCAGATAAAACTAGCTTGCATATACATATGCAAAGCATGCTGCGGAATGGTACTCCTGGTGATGTGTCTGTTCTTGCCAGGAGCTCCAACGATGGCCCTGGAATGGCTGGATGTTTGTATTTTCTATGATTTATTTAAATGGTGTTTATCATGAATAAACGAAAAACCGATATTTAACTCTACTGCTTAATATTTGACGTTCTGTAATGAGCGTAGCTTTGGATTCACAGTGCTTGAGACTGCTACTGGTCGTTGATACGACGGGATGCTGAGACTATTGTCTGTAAAAACAGCAGTTTTTTTTTCACTAGGAGCAACTAAAGTCATTTGCAGTTGTGGGCGAAATGTCGCCTCAAGAACTTGAAGGAAGCCCATCGGCAAGTCCTCCAGAAGCTTGCGATAGCGAAACTTCATCCAGCGAATTGACGAGCGTAAAAGGTTCATTATTCGGTAACGGTATTATGAATGGATCCATATTTCCGGCGACGCTCAGGAATAGCGAGAACTTCCTTCGCTTTGGGGCAAAGGTTAAGCTATATATGCATATATGCTTTTTTCGCATGATTTTGGATTCGGACATATGTGGCCGGTACCTAATTAAATTACGTCAACATTATTAATGATCCGATATATTTGCAGCCGGATAATCTACTTTCGCAAATTAGCCCAGAAACTGCCGGCGGCAGTTGGCTAACGGCTTGGTTGGCCAACAGTGCTTTCTCAGCAGCAGCTCCATTTACTTCTGCCAACTTACTAACAGCTGGTAATGAACCTCTTCATTACAATTCATTCATTTTACTGTTGAACGCAGTAATAAATTTTTTTGACAAGGTCCGATCATTATGCGTTTTTGTACGTTTGTGCAAATGCAGAAACATACATTGACAAGAGATTTTCACTTGTGCGTGACTGCGTATGTGTTTTCACACTTCCGTCACCCATCTTCAGTGCAGAAACCGATGAAGCTAGAAGGCTGAAATTTCTGGAGCTTACGCCCACTTCATGTGCGCTCTCCCCTCCCTCCCCCCCTCCCAATTTTAAAATTATCGTTCTATTTTGTATGCCGGGGTGCCACGTAGGATGTCGAGAAGAAAACACAAATTTTCTAGCGAGAAAGCGACTTCTGGAAACGGTAGTTGTAAGAAGCTGGAACTTTGCAGAGATATTCTTTGTTCATGTGTGAGCTAAAGATTTCAAATTTGATTGTCATGTGCAGTCATATCAAAGTTCTTGGTTGGCATCGCGCAGACTCGAAAACTAGTTTGAAAAACAGTGGCTGTAATTCTACTGGATATTTATTATCCGTCTGAGAGATCGTATGCTTAAGTGGAGTTTCGAGCTGCATTTGCTGCATACCCTAGAGCATGCCAAAGATAGTTGTAGCAAAGTGGCGGCATCGGGTACTGACAAATGTGGAGCTAAAATTTTGCAAGGATATTCTATATTCAAGCGTGGACTAAACTCAGCCTGGAGGTTAAATTCCCTGCACATAGATGTGAAAAATACTCAGTTTTATCGCAGTCTCAAAAATGAGTGCATTTTGCGGATTTCGTCATCCCTCTCTCTCTCTCTCGGCATTCTCTTCATTGTTAAATTTCTCTATCTAGTCAAATTTTTCTTTCTAACTAGATTTATAGATTTGCTGATTAAATTTTGTGGTTTTTTGGTCGAATTTTGTCAGTTTTGACACATTTTTTGCATTTTTGTCTCCTGCTTAGTCAGAATGACATTGTTTTTTCTCAGCATAAACTGAAAGAGATTTCTATCGCCTACTGCTTATGTTTGCCGTTGTTACAAAAAGTAAAAATTTGTAAGTATTTAAAACATCGTGACTGTATCCTCTTCAGAAGCTTTTTTTTTTGTTCACTGAAAATCACTTCTCACAGTTTTTGCAAATATGTCGACGTCTGCACCGCCTATTGAACTGTTTATTCCCACTCCTACGCGCATGCACTGTTCGGTCTGTGTATACAGCTAAGGGATGAAACGCCGACTGCGTCAGAAAATATCTTCATACACATGACATTCAAGTGAAATCCTCCTATTCTTCTATTTCTTAATCTAGGGATCTCCTGCAAAAAGCTGCTCAAAATGTTACAATTCAATTTCAGATACTTTTTCTGAGCTAAGCATCGAGCTAGACAAGTTAGAATTTCATCCTTGTCTTTGCGTCTATTTATGAAATTGCAGTAACGACCAGCGCAGAAGGAATAAATAACGAGTCAAATGGAGATTCACCATCCACGAATGGAGTTAAGAAAGTTAGCATGAAGGAAGATCAGCAAGCTACAAACAGCACTGAAACAAACGGTACTATAAGCCTGCCCAGCAAATTTTCGTGTAAAACACCGACTTCAACTCCTGAACAGGTATTTTTCAGTAAACCATCGTAAGGCTACCTCCTGTTGCTCAGTGAAAAAAGTAAAAAGAAGTAGCTTAATATTTCTGATAACTTCAAATGCTTTTGTCCAGGGTCTTCGATCCGCACACGTTGTTGTGTTTTGGGATTTGGCTTTATAAATCTGGCACAAAAAGACGTGCTGCATTTTCAGCTACATTTGAAACCAACTGACTGATATCGTTTTCATTACGTAAGTGCTCGAGGGAATAGCAAATTTAAGAATGGGATTCGGATATAATAATGATTGCATTTGTGTTAATCTTTATGAAATAGACTTACATCGTAATTTACTTGCAGATCCATCAAATCCCGACTCTGTTAGTTTAACCAGCCGCACTAAAAGGCATGTTGAAGTAGAATAATAATAAAAACCATTACACTTATAGGATAAGCCTACTTGTAAGTGTCTATGTATCGCAGTTGCCAATAGGTGCAAAAAAAACATAATGGACAAAAGAAAAGAGAAGTGTAGCAGTCAGAAGTTAAAGAAAATCCAATCAGAGCCATAAGGGTAGAACAATAAATTATCAATCGCAGTTCACCTCGACGGAGATGTATTTAAAAGAGTTTGCTGATGACAGAACAAATGCAGTCGTTGTTGTTGTTAAATTAATTAATGCGGTCGTTGTTGATAAAACCATCTTTTCAAAATACAGCAAATTACTATTACGTTTCCAAAAAATTGCAGAGAACATGAAAAAAAAAAAATGCGGAAAAATCATTTGCCTGTAAAAAATAACTCCCCATCCTGCTTTCAGAGTCCACTTAACCTCGCTTCTGAGAAATGATTACTGCTGTTTCATAATTCCTTGCTTACTCTCAGTGCTTCTTTTTATGTTTTTTTTCAGATAATCATACTTAAAAGCAACATAAGTTGAAATGTCTGATTTCAATTTCATGACTTTAGTCGAGGCTCTGTAACCCGAAATCAGCTTTCAGGACACACTCTATTTTACTCTTGATCTTAAGTTTAAACCCGGGCTGATTTTTTAACGAAAGCCAAAAACTGAAAGTTTTGTGACTTCAAGGTCAAATATCTTTGGAAATTTAGCAAAATTAGCCTCTACAGTGTAAGGCGGGTTGTGTTGAAAAGTCGTGCTCATTTATATTTTCGTGTCCTCACCTCTTACCGCATTCATTACAGTGTAAGCATTGTCTTTTCAGAAGTTAGCTGGACGGTTAACTTCTTTTTTTACAACTTTAGCCTATCTGGCGTTCTACTGTTGTCAAAGACTTGTGAATTTATTCTTTTCGGAAATTTTAGGACACTAAGAAATCTTCGAATGGAAGCTCACTGGATGATTTACTTGAAAAAAAAGGCCTAAATGTTGTAAGAAATCATCGAAATAAGCGAAAAGCTACTAAGCCACAACAGCTGCGGATATCAACAGCTCTTCCTGCTGCTGATGATGATGACGAGGTCACTTTTGTTTTTTTTTTTCTTCCAAGACTTAAATTTTGAAAGGAATAGGCAGTCTAACGACTTGGACAAAAGTAAACGGTCAGGTAAACTGGAACTGTAGGAATTGCCCGAGTAAGAGTAGGCAGTATTTACTTTAAATAGGATGCCCGGATTACTGGGGTCAACTCTTGGATTTCCAACATTTACACAATCTTCCAGTAAATCTGTTTTTGCCGTTGATAAATAATTACTGTTATGTGTGCTGGAAAAAAATATTAACACCACTTTTGTGTCCATTTTCTAGCTGCATACTGGGCAAGTCAAAGTTTTGAAAAAGCCTTGAATTCATGTGATAGTTGGTTCTGGAAGATGAGCATTGAGTTTTAGGAATTTGTTACGCCGCCCCAGAAGCAAAATTTGATGGAAAAAGCTGCAAAAACAGATGACAGTGGTAAGGCAGCGAGCAGCGACAGTAACGAAACGGTTGCAGCAGCGGTGGAAACAAGAACAAGCCCAAACGGCATCACTTTGGTGGATGCCTCCACAAGCCCTATCAAATGCTCACACTGCACGGTAAAGTTTCTATTTTATATCATACCAAAACTGTTTTATGCACAAAATTTCATTTCTGTTAACGACGAGTAGAGTTCTCACACTCTACAGTCTTTTGTTACTCTGTCAGTGAACTCATTAAATCAGCTTTGCCAGTCTTCATGGATCCGTCATTGACCGAAAAAGCATTCAACCCCTTTTAGTCTGTCATTACCCATCTGCATAAATCTAAGAACACATTTTGTTTGCGTCTTTGTATCTGTCTCCCCGTTGTTTAATCGGAAAGCGCAGTTCAGGCTATGTGAAAAAATTTTCTAGTCTTCTGTGTTCTTAGTCTGTTGAACCACACGTGCATTTTTCCCTTCACCTTTTCTGTAGGTAGCATAGTCCCAACATGCAGCTCTATCTCTTACACGCCTTTTTTTGTTTTAGCGTTTGATAGGGGTTTATTGTCCTTATCCTCAAGTAAGGGAGGAGTGTAGTTAACGAACCATACTTTTACCAGTTTAGCAACTGAATCCAAGATTGTGTGTAAATTCCTCTTTCCAGCGTGGGTGAATGGAACAGTTGAATGATAAATACCGTAATGAATGAATGATCCACCTTGTCCATGCATGAAATGTAGAAGGGACATAAAAATTGTTTTTATGAATATTCGCCCAATCTCGCAAAACTTTACCCTTGATATTTCGGTTGCGGAATTGCAATTTGTCACTGTCAAATTTCACGCTTACACGTAAGTTGTGGGGAAGAACGGGGAGCATGCTAAATATGGTCGAGGACCACGCCCAGAAAATTTCATCACTGTAACTGCTTTGGTTACGGAATTACTAAATCGCCAGCGTCAAGTTCGTCGTGTCCGAATTTGAGATTTTGCGAGGTACGTAAGCTCATTTTAGATTTCTGGTCCGTTAGTGGACAGCAAACATTCTAGTGTTACAGCCTTCCACCCTCGGATTAAGATGACGCCAGATTGACTCCGACGTATTCGAACTTGAAACGTAAATGAACCGTGAAGATTGAATTAAATTGTTTGGTCATGTATGGATAGGGAGTGTCATTGTAAAGCTTTAATTTTTACACGCTTTTGCATATATGCAAATTACAATAATTGGCCAACGCACGGGCTGCATATGCGAAGATGTGTTTTTTACATAGCTCCCCGCAAATTTTTGTCGTTAATGGTACTGGTTTTTCCGGCAGATGCTTCTAGCTAAAAGAATTTCAGACTGACCGCCAGGACCATCAGGAAACATCCCTTCAAAATTCCAGTCTTCTAGCTTCTCACCTTCCTGAGTTAGCAACTTACGCGAAAGAAACCTTCACGGGCCCGTACGTAGGTACCACGCTTACCCGCGGGCAGGGTTTGAGCTCGTTAATACCCACTTGGACAGGTAACATCCCCCTAAGAATTCAGCGTTCTAGCTTCTCAGATCCCCGAGTTATGAACTTACCCGGAAAAAATTTTGACGGGCCCGCACGCGGGTACCACGCTTACCGGAGGCTGAATTTGAGCTCATTAATACCCACTTGGACGGGGAACATTACCCTAAGATTTCAGCTTTCTACCTTCCCAGATCCTCGAGTTATGAACTTACTCGAAAAAAATTTTGGCGGGCCCGTATGCGAGTACCACGCGGGTAATGGCACCTATTTTGGGATTGGGACTCGTACGTGCATGTAGATTAAGTTTCCAAAGTTTTAGCCCTGCAGCTTTTATAGGCCTTGAGATGAGAAATCGAGACAGACGCACACACAGACACACAGACAACCCCTCGTCAGTATGCGTTTTTGCACTGCATAGATGCAAAAAACGCATATTGGGAAGAGGCTGTCTGTGCGTGTGTTTATGGGTGTGTGTGTCTGTGTGTTCGCACTTTTTGTCACCAACTTCTAACTCAAGAACCTGAAACTTTGGGAATATGTGCCCGTACCATGCACGGCCCTCACATTTTAATATCATCTCCCGCGGACGCCTAGGTGCTGCGTACGGGCGCTTTAAAAAAATGTGCGAATTTTTTGGCAGGAAAGCGATCTCGGGAACCAGACGAGATAAGGGGTTGAAACTCTGTAAGGATATCCCCTGTGCATGTATTAGCTAAAGGTTTCAAATTCAGCCCCCAGGTGTGCATGGCACTCAAATAAGGGAGAAAGATTTGGTGGGAAAATTACTAACTCGGGAGCTAGGAAAGCTAGAAAGTTGAGATTTTGGGGGAATGTTCCCTGTCCAAGTACAACTTAAATATTTCAAATCCGGCCCTCAACTATGCGTGGTTTTTACGTGTGAGCACGTGAAAGATTTGGCGGGAGAATTGTTAACTTGGCAACCAGAAAAGCTGAAAGGCTGAAATTTTGCGAGAATGTTCCCTGTCCAAGTACAGTTTAAGTTCTTCAAAATCAGCCTTCAGCTATGCGTGGCACTCACGTAAAGGCGTGTGAAAATTTCTGCAGAAAAATCACTACTCAGGAACCAGAAAAGCTAGAAAGCTGAAATTCTAGAAGAATGTCCCCTGTCCAAGTAAAACTTAAGTGTTTCGAATTCAGCCTTGTGATACGCGTGGTTCTTACGTACGGGCATTTAAAAGTTTTGGCGAAAAAATTTCTCACTGAACAGCTAGGTTACTTTTAAAGAACAATCGTTAAATGGAAATTGAACATTTACTTTATGCAAAATTTATGGTGATTTATGCTAATGACCGCAAAAGGTAGGTATAAAGCAACAACCATTCATGCAGTTAAT